TCTCCAACAGCTCAGTCCCCAGCCTAGACTGTGCTGCAGGAGAGGTGGCAGTTGGTCACCCACCAGACTTGAGCTCCAAACCTCAGCCCAGCCTGGCTGTGCCACGTTGCGTTGTCACTGCTGAATAAAATGTCTCCTGGTGAAAACGGTTGGAAAGGAGAAAAGCAGCACCGAAACAAGATGTTGGTAGGTACGGGGAGAGCGAGCTGAAATGATTCAAAGAATGAGGTGAAGCTCGGGGAGGGGACCCTGCACCCGCACACTGTCACCTCGGTTTTGCCGAGCCGGCGAGCGCAGCGTTGCATCCCCTCCACCAGACCCAGCAAACATTGCCCCAGAGCAGGACAAAGGGGTCGAAGAGTCTTCCAAGCAAGAACGTTATGGGATGGAGAGGGGTGGCAGAGGGGTTTTGAGCAGAGGAGATGGTCGGAAAGCCCCTCTGAGGGCCAGCAGAGCCTCTGCGGGCGCCTCACAGCCCTCCCGACCCCTTGCCTCGGCAGACCCAGGAGGCGCAGGTGCTGAAGCAGCTGGCGGAGAAGCGGGAACACGAGCGGGAGGTGCTGCACAAGGCGCTGGAGGAGAACAACAACTTCAGCCGCCTGGCCGAGGAGAAGCTCAACTACAAGATGGAGCTGAGCAGGGAGATCCGCGAAGCACATCTCGCCGCCTTGAGGGAGCGGCTCCGCGAGAAGGCGAGTGCGATGCCCCCGGGGGAGGGCTGGGCGCTGACGCCCACAGAGGGGTTTGGGGTCTGGTCCCTGAGGGGTCATCCCAGAGCGATGGGCACAAGGGAGCGGGTGTTTTGTGGCTGGTGGCCAGCGGGCTGTGGAGCAGCTCCGCTCCGGAGCAGCATGAGGAGAGGGGGAATGTGTCCTTCAAGGTCAGTAGAGAAAATCCCCTCGGGCGGATCTCGATCAGCGCAAGCTCAAAGGCACAGGATCAGGCCCACTCCGTGGCCAGGGGCTGCGTGGCCGAGGGGCTTCGCAGCGAGGAGCCGTGGCCACGTTGGCTGTAGGTTTGCGTCGCCTCTGGGCTCCCGCGGGTGAGATGCTTCGCTCCCTGCAGGCGTAACCCACCGTCCTCGGGGGGTGTCGGGTGGGAAACTGGTCTTTTTTTGTTGTTTTTTTTCCGCTGCAAACCCGTGTGCAGGAGAGGAGGAAACCAGAGACTGCAGAAAGGGTGAGCCTGGTGTCGTCTCTCCCGTCTTTGCAGGAACTGCACGCAGCTGAAGTTCGCAGGAACAAGGAACAGCGGGAGGAGATCTCTGGATAAAGGGCTTTTCTACACCTCTAGCACCTGATTCCTGTTAACAAACCGACCAATCGACCAACCAACACATTTTATTTCGTTTGTCTAGATGCGACCTTCGGTTCTCCGTCCCGTCCCGTTCCCCCCCCCCTCCCTGGTGTTTGTCCCCCAGCTACACGCTTCTCTATCTCTGCATCCTTAATCGTCAGTACTCGTGGGGATTCACAGATCATAGGGATCTCTAAGCAGAATAGCGACTAGTTCACATGGAATAGAGAAACAATCGATCGATCAGTCAATCAAACAGCTTCTTTGGAGGGTTTTGTCCTTTTTTAAAACAAATATTTCTTAAACCGATGTAAAAAAATAATTAAGATATTAATAAATTCAACCAGCAGTGTCACGGAGATACGGATTTCTTATCCGGGGCTTTTACCCCTCTTGGTGTTTGCTCTGAGCCAAATATCAGTTTCAGAATGATGGGAAGTAAGTGATAATTTCTGTGTGTGGAGCGGAACAGGGAACAGCCCCAGGTTTGCCAGGAGAGAGGAATGAGAGAGGGACGGGATGGCTCAGGAGTCGTGGCGTGCAGACCCCCCCCCCCCTCTCGTGGCTCCCTCTGGAGCCAGCCCAGGCAGGCAGTGACCCAAAGTCCTCATCTTCGGGGGATCCTTTGATGGCCCGTGTGGACGCAGGCTGAGGGTCTCCACCCAGCGCTCGGCGCCGGGTGCCACCTCACGGGAGGTCCCCGTCACGGCAGGCACCGCCTGGCG